CCCAAATTCCTTCCGGATTAAAATGTGATCAAAATGACCCTATCCAAGGAGCAAAATTGTAATTTCATAATTAAATAAATTAATTAAATTAAACGAATAATTAAAATTGGGTCGGGATGTTACATTTAGTTCCTTTTTACTTCGTCTGGGTTTTACTCAAAGACAATTTGATGATTCTATGTTTGTCTACTAGGATCAATCTCATATGATGATTTTGCTTGTTTATGTTGATGACATAATACTCACTGGGAGCAGTCAGGCACATTTACATTCTTTTATTAATCAGTTGGGAGCTGAGTTTGACATCAGAGATCTTGGTAGGTTAAATTACTTTCTTGGCATCGCTGTTACGTATCACTCAGACTCTATTCATCTCACTTATACCAAATATGCCCTCAACATTCTCAAAAGACACAACATGCTGGATTGTAAACCTGTCTCTACACCAATGGCTTCTAAGGGTCGATTTTCTCGCACACATGGCACACCTTTGACCTACTCGACTTTCTATCGCCAACTTGTGGGGGCTCTCCAATATCTAACCATGACTCGTCCAGACATTTCCTACGTCGTCCAACATGTTTCTCAGTTCATTGGTTCTCCCACTGATGCTCACCTTGAAGCAGCAAAACGCATTCTGCATTATCTCAAAGGCACGCCTGGTCATTGTATTCCTATTCGTTGCTCTACAAACTCCTCCTTCCTTGTTGCCTTCTCATATGCTGACTAGGCTGGTTGCCCAGATACTCGACGCTCTACCACTGGGTACTGTGTGAAGGAAACATGTATCTAATGCTTGGGAAATGAACTTTAACCACAGCCTATACTACAAAAGCATTCTAAATGGCGGATTCATTTTGTTTATACTAGTTGAGCTAAACCCTTTTTCATTTTAAACCAAGTATCTTAGCCTAGTCTCTTTGAACACAAATAGAAAAAGGAAAAAGGGAATAGATCTTTACCCTTGATGACCTTTTCTTGATTTCTCAAGAATGAACACCTTTGTTGGAAAGGCCTTTTGTTTCTTTTGATTTTGACTCCTTCACCTTAAGGCTCCAAGATTGGAGTCCTCTACCTCACCACACCAAATGCTCCTAGAGATGAAGAGAAGGCAATAAAAAACTATGGATGCTAGTCTACTTCTTGATTGGACCAATTTTTGTTTTATGGAAGATGAGATACAAAGATGATCACTCATCAACCAAAGTAGGAAAACCAAAAATCTTAGCTAGGTTTTCTCCAACACTTAGCTTATATAGGACAACACAAAAAAAGCAAGGGGAGAGCTCCCCTTAGTTGCCGAATTTTTGGGTGGGTTTTGGGGCTCGATTTGGTACATGGGTCATGTCATCTTATGCTACTTTATCCCTTGGGCCCAATAGCCTTTTGGGTTATTTTGTCCATTTCCTTTTAAATCATATTTAAAAGTCCAATCCAATATTTCTATATGTTAATATTAATTCCATAATTAATCTTTTAATTATAATTATAGTCTTACGCAATTGACCTGATCGAACTATTTGACTTTGGTCAATTGCTCCAGTCAACATGTTGACTTTTGATCGCTGACTTTGACATTTGATTATTAACCATTGACTTCTGTCTCCTCATTTGTATCTTTAATCACATTCTTTAAGTGTGCAGATCCGTAGATTCCCTTTACCAAGGTAGTAGGTTGACTCAACTCCTCATAGATGATATATGAATTAAATTTCACAAATGAATTCTTCCTATTAATAAAGGTTAATTGAAACTTTTTAGGACATCCACAAACCACGGTTGTCTCCTAGCAGCAAGTCATGGTTATCCGAGATAAATGAGACGTTGTAAAAGAATCTATTCAAATTGGAATGACCGTGCAATTGAATCCTTCTCTTATGTCAATACTCCTTATTCACATTATTAGATCATGAAATCCGATTGTCAATATCCTAATGCGAATAATTTCTTTTATATGATTATCCTAGTAAGACTTGAAGACTTCTTCTTTCAAGTCTTATCCACTACTCTGCACAGAGATTTGACCAATCATATCTTTGAGTATTCTCTCTCCTTTACTGAGAGTAGAGATTCCTTGTTGTACATTCATTTGCTTCCATGACTCTATTGAGAATCCTTATGCACACCTTTAAGCTATGCCTAATTCAGCATGACCGTATAATGCCCTCAAAGATTAACAACATAGCCACAAAACATCTATGATG